CAACGTTTCGTCCAGCTAGTGTGTCTAGACTTGTTGGACTACAAGAAAAAAACCAGGGAACAGGTTGTGATATCCAGAAAAATATCCTAAAAATTATCCTGTTAAGTCTAATACTATCCTTAAACGTGAGATGGTGTCATTTTCCCACAGGTCAATATTTATTTTACGTGTCGTTTCCCTACTGGTCAATATTTATTTCACGTGTCATTTTCCTGATGATCAATATTTATGGTAGTCCTAACTGAATAAATATGCATTTGTCTGTAAATACTTATTCTTCTCCTGACTCCATAAACAATTTTCATCTACGGTTCGTGTTCTGATGTATTGGAGATTGGGAACAGTATTGGGGTCGTACTCGGATATCTGAAGTTGGTCAGTCAGTAGAAATTAGAGTAACCACCCCGCAGTCCACAATAGGACATCTAAAAGAGGGCCCGTATAAACCAATTAAAGAAGCGAAAAGCAGGACAACACTCAATAAACTTAAGGCTGAAAGCAGTAAAATCTTACAGTCGTTAAAGATTAAGCTAGGATTTTCACTATGGTTTATGTTATATCCAAACAGTTGTAACCCTTGTAGATTCTATGGACTTCCAAAATTTATAAGAATAATACTCCACTAAGAACAGTGGTTGATTTTACAAACTCACCGACATACAATCCAGCGAAATACATAGCTAAGATAATTAAACCGTATGAAAAACTGATTAATCATGGAATTAAAAACTATTGAATTCAAGAATATTATCGATACCATCGATATACAAGAGGATGAAATACTGGCAAGTTTTGATGTATCTTCTTTATTAACTAATATACCTGTCAATAGAGCGCAGGATATCATCTATGATTGTTTAGAATCTGATTCAGATTTGAATTTAGGTTGCCCATTAGATCCATCTGGGGTTATCAAATGCTTGGAATTATGTTTGAGATCCACATTATCCATATTTCGAGACCTTTACAGAAGGTATAGCAATGGGTTCACCAGTTTCTCCGATTGCAGTGAATTTATTCATGCATTCCCTAGAAACTAGTCCAATCGAGAGAAGCGTATGTCCACCAAAGGTTTGGTTACTTTATGTAGATGACGTTTTTGTTATCATTAAACGGACTTTGAACAATTTTTTGAACATGTAAGCAACATATCGGAAAGCGAAGAAAATTTCCTTTTCGACGAAATCATTTACTTAAGCTGTACATTCGTATATATAGTTATATGGAAAATACATGTCTATAGGAGGATAGAAAACATTGCATCACAAAAATGGATTCGAGACTCTTATTATTAAATGAGGTTACGTACTAAGGAAGAAAATCGTTTATGGGTCAGATAATAGCCCAATTGACAGATATGAAGAAAAAAACGACAAACATAAAGGTCATAATCAAGAAAACTTGTATAAGGTAATAATAATAACTGATTAGAGTTTAAAATAGCAAAATAATAATTTAAAAAATTCAATAATGGTCAGATAAAAGTGCAGAAAGAAATACCCAGAAGCATACCCATTAAGGTAATTAAAGCCAAGGAAGGATGAGAGGTTGGATAAATTATTTCTGCATGCAATGTTCGGGCTTGAGTGTGTGGATTACCAGTGCCTCAGTATTGCATAATATATTGATTCGAAATCTCTTTGACTATGTAGATTCTTTTAAACGAGGAAGCATTTGAAGCGATGTGTCCTGTATAGAAACGGTAATTGCTTTACATTCACCTTTTAAAAGCCAAACCGGATAGTGTTCTGAGATGTGTTCTTAAAGTGATCGCTTTGTGCGGCCTATGTAACGTGCCCCACATGAGCAAGTAAATTTATAGATGCACATTGATGTGGCCCAAAGCGGAATTTTATCCTTAACACATCCAAGAATGGTAGGTCGGCTTGAGAAAACGATTCGGAGCTTAGCTACGTAGAACGTTTTATTCAACGATTTTTAAAGCCGTTTATTTAAGATTTCAGCAGCTGTGTCTCCTTTAAATTCCATACTCATCCTCGGTAGACTTAAAGAAACTTGAGAATGAGTCTGCGACAGCTTTGCATGCGTTAGAAACAGGACACAAGATTAATTTTGAAGGGACAAAAATAGTTCAGAAAGGTTTTAACATTCATAAGGAAAGATTGAGACAGAAACACTGTATATATGAACGAACGCGAACAGCTTGAAACGAAAGGATGGTATTCAACAAGCGACTACCTGGAAAATATTCATTGAGAAGTTATTCGACCCTTTCTTTATTCAACCTGTTTATTTCATATCCATCGTTATTTTGACTGAAATTAATGTGTTATTTTAGCAATACAATTATGTATTTGATGAATCTCATTTGACATGCACATCTATGATTCAGAAACAATCTTTTCAACCTTGAACTTGCACTTTTATTTATTCATTCATATAAAACATTAACACTAAGTAACATTCATTAATACCATAATCTTACACATACATACAATTGGTTTTCAGTAATTTATTTCCACATCGTGAAATTTTCACATGATTCCCATGTAACTGACTCATGTTATCCCACTTACAAAATCAACATCCAAATATGATTGGATGAACATAGTAGAGATTTGATTGTTAAACGCTATATATATATTTCACCCTGACGTAGTCCAGACAAATTAGCTGGACGAAACGTTGGAATCATCTAAATTTCAATCGCTGAGATTATTTCAAATAATTTTCACATAAAATGTCTTGTCTATACTCGGCGCCCAATTCCTGTCAAACTATTGGTTCTAATCTTGACCAATATTCGTATAAATTGATATTGTAATTAACAAATAAACAGCAGCACATACCTTGAATTTCATAATTATCTATCACCAATAAAAGTGCGAAATCAAAAGGGGTTTTGTAGAGATTTTAGTAATTTCAATAGTTGAAATCATGAGTCAATTGAAGCTAGACCACCATGGAAAACCTGGAAGGACTGGACAGCCCTTTCGCCCTAGTATGGGACCCCTCAGCAGTGCGCACCTGCGATCCCGCCCCCCACGAGGCTCGAACCCAGGACCTATCAGCCCAGCACGCGAGCGCTTAACCATTAGACCACTGAGCCGGCATCCAACGGTGTTAATGTCTAACTTCAACCAATCTACGAAATTGCGCGACCGTCACCATTGTCTTCAGTGAACTGATATCTCACAACAGACCTGGTTGGATTCCAGTGGTCACGGCTTCTCACTAGAACTCCAGAAATGTCTCTTGAAGTCAGTCACTAGTTCACGGATGAGTCCCATACTAGGGCGAGACGGCCGTCCAGCGCTTCCAGGTTTTCCATGGTGGTCTCGCTTCAATTGACTCATGATTTCAACTACTGAAAAGTGTGAAAGTTTAACCTATCAAGGCTTTCATACTGAGGGCCCGTAAACTTAGGCAAACTAATCGACGAGGTTCACAAGACATAACAAGGTAGCACAGTGGTGCTTAAAATGGCAACTGGGGCTTAATACGGCTAAATGTGGATGGATATGCTTCGGCGATACATCACTCAACCTAGATCTTACCATAAATGGAGGAGTGTTATCTAGGTTACATACAGTAGTAGACTTACGACTTAGATACTCCCAAGACTTGTCATTTACAGAACAGATATTGAAACAAACCTCTAAGTCTGAACGTCTAGTAGGTTACATTACTCGAAACCTTTATAGCAATGAGTCACGTATTTTAATGTACAAAGTTTGTGTTCGACGTTTTCTAGAATATTGCACGTTCATTCTTAGCAGTACACGCATAAAGGATAAATTAAGGCTGAAATCAGTACAGAGACGATTTACACTTCGTATTCTTGGAGCTGATTGTAGCTTAACTTATAATTCTAGATGTAATAAACTTGGGCTAGACCCTTTATGGAAGAGGAGACTCAAACTAAATCTTATCTTTTTCTTCAAACTACTTATTAAACTATCCTTTACATCCAATCACGTGATTCAATATGCAGAAACTTCTTATTATGACATCCGTAACTCCTTGGCACTAGTGAAACAAACTTAGTCTAAATAATCTCTTTATATGAATCACTTTGCCTGTACATTTTCTAGACTTTCGAATAACCTACCACAATCTATCCGTACGATGAAATCACTCTCATTATGTGTTCGCTGCATACTGCTCCTCTGAAAATGCATTGAGTGTTCTACACCTGTAATTGTATCTCATTCCACAAGTGATATTATAGGAACTTTAAATGTTTAGCCATCTTCATTAGTGCATTCCCTAAGTAAAACCACCTACTTGCTGTCACTTCATGTTAACACCGTCCCCAGCAATTTTAACTAATTTGAATAACATCAACAGTATATTACTGTCACATGACACACGCATTTTGGTAAACCTGATTGACATATTTTGGTAATTACTGCTTTGTTGTTCCGTGCTGTGTTCGTTTTAATTTCTCTAGTTGTAGGTAATTATCATAAATTCGACCTGGTACACAAAATGACCTTAATTACGCCGTTCATAAGTCAACATGCTGTCCATTTAAGAAATATTAAAAATTCCCGGCTGATGCATTGGATCGCTGTAATACATGTACTACCTAAACAATTACTGAACTAGTATACTTAAAACTTTCTTCTATCACATGTTTGTTCTGTACATCTAATGTTAATATTTATATCAAATTGATCATGCCTATAAACTGACTTGAATTCTGTAATTATTATTTTCAGAATATATAAATTATTATTATACGATGAAAAATGACAAAACTGACAGAAGAATTATCAATAGAACAGGGGATAATACCGAATTGACTAGTCGTTATTAAATAATTAGCGTACTTAAACCGTAGTCTTAAACTAAGCTGATCCATAATAATGTTTTAGTAATTATTTGCTCTACTCCACATTTAATTGTTCCAACAGTCATGTTGGAGTAAACTGCATGCTTATTTATTTGTCGGTGCGTAAGTTTGTAGTACTCTATTTTACATATTGGATTACAGTGACTCATTTCTTTAACCTATTTTTTTCAGAAGATAGCTTCGGAAATAGATATATATTTATTCACTTTAGCTACATATTAAAAGTAATAAACTTTGTTTACATGACGGTGTAACGGTATGTGTCATTTTTTTGTTGAACAAGTAAATTATGTTTGAATGTATAAACTCATAGATAGTATGGACACTATGAATAGATAGCAAACTTAAACTTGAACTTATAAACGGTCAATTCCATCAAGCAAACAGTCAGATGGATGAAAAATTAGTTTTCTTGTTCAAACAAGCCGTTTACTTACGGCGGTTGCAATGTTCGTAACAGTGCATAAGAGGACAAAAGTCTCTTGTTTACAAAATATTTGTTTAGTCCAGCTTCTACGTCTTTTAAATATTGATTCAGCTGATTGTCACGCCACTCATTTGCTGCTAACAAACGAATTTCTAGTGAACAGTAAAAATATGATCAATTAAGGTAATTCTAAACATATAGTATGAAAAATGGATTACCAGAAAACCATAAATTAATACTATTATTTATTTGATTTTACCTTGGAAAATATTATAATGACTACATCACTCATTATTAAATCGGTATATCTAATGGCTTGAGTTATATTATTACTGTGGTAATAACTAAGTGTTCATAAATTATAGTGAAGTTTTCAACTTAATCCTCTGAAAATTATATATAAGCTTGGTAATGAAGGTTTACACTCCAAAAGAAATAGGAGAGGAAACGAAAGTATTAGTCGACATCAGAAATGAAGTTGCCCTAAATGTCAATCATAAAAATAACCGATAATAGTTGACAAGATACTTAATTGCAAGATTTCATAAAAAGCGAAAAATAATTGGTGTGTAATAAATATATTTTTTGTGATAGCCTGGTCGTCAACAGATCCTGAAGTAATCGAACAATTGTTCATTTATGGGTCCAGACCAAAAAGGTCAGTAAATTGATGTTAAACTATAGAATAAATGATGAAGAGGAGACTTTCTGATTCCTTAAAAAGAACATTCTTCCCAGCAACATTGAGAATATTATTCTCCAGTCGATCATTGTTCACCAGTAATCTGAAAGATAAATTATCGCATCCGACCAACTCAATGTACATTTACCAATTTACCTGCTCTTATAGAGCTAGGTATATAGGTATTTCGATGCGTATTTTATCCAAAATAAGTCAAGAACATCATCCGGCGTGGCTAAAAAGAGGAGGCAACAGCTCAATAAGAAGTTCTATAATCGAACACCTTGTGAACACAAGTCATTCAATCAAGACAGTCTCTGCGTTCAAAGTCATCTGCAAGGTAAGTAGAAGCCTTCCTAAAACAAATAGACTGTATCTTCTCTGCAATGCCGAAGCAATAGCCATACATCTGGAAAAACCAGAATTGTGTGTGCAAAAGGGACTGGTGCAACCTCTTCTTCTACCATGGTCTTAATGTATTAAAATTTTTCCCTCTTTTCATACTCTTGTTCCTTAACAGCCATCTGCTTCACCTTCCATCTTCCCTTTAACTCTTCTACGCCCAACTGGTTTGTTTTTATTTCCACAATCATTCCCATTACATTTCATCTATGTTTCAACATTTTGTTTTATCATGCTGAGCCATCCTTGCCCAATGATAATTTCCCTATCTATCTTTTGATAAATACTTAAGCCAATAACAATCCTACCATTATTAAACTTTTCTTGTTTTAAATTTTTTTAATACCTTTGTTTATTTAACCTCACTATCACCATGTATAACAAGTTTATTATCAGTATTATTATCATCCTGTAAAAATAAGTATATATATTTGCGATTGTACAGCTTTGAAAATGAATTCCCTGAAAAGAGAACTCTTCGCTGAACTAATCGTTCTTACTAAATGATGAAGTAACTAAAATTTACTCTTATTGATATGATGGTTATTTATTTTTAAAGTAGTTAGCTGAGATGGTATGACTATAGCTAACTGATCAGAAAAAATTGTCGATCAATGATGATTATGAAGCTTACCAACAAAGTATCATTTTCGTTTCGAATATGTTACTAAGATTTTACATTCTTCTTTACATAGACAATTGTTCAGGATCAAGTTAACGAAGAAAGTAATATTCTTCATCGAAGGAAAAGTAACAGTATTATGTTTTCACTGATGGTATAATTTTTTGGGATTCAATGAATGTCAGAAATTGTTAGGTCCCGAGACACATATTGAATGGTAACTTTGGGATCCTTTTATGGACCAATACTAAACGTATATTTTTATCGTATAACTGTTAAATAACTAAACTATTCATATTATAAACTTTATTTTGACATATGAACCATTATTATATGTTTTACCATTCTTGAATTATGCCCTGTCTATTAGTTACTACCTCCAACATTCACAGCTACATTTGGCCAAATTTTGTACAAATGTTATTTTCTATTTTATGCTACGTTGTGGTCGGTTTGATTGGTATATAAACTCAGTATGTTTGAAATATAAGGATTCATATTGCAGAGGCTGAGACTAGTGTTCTGGACTTAACTGGCTGGGCTAGGCGGAAAGCAGGACTCTAGGCTGCTCGCACATGTGTTACGTGTCCTTGGTCCGATCGATAATTCGCTGCTTCTGATTGGCAGCTATGGGCTATAACAAAAATGTATTCGATCTATCTTGAAAACTGGATCAAACTCTAAGATTTCATTTCTCAATGGTTTCTTCGTAAAGAGATTTATCCGCATAATCTAACTCCAGTCGACCAGATAATGAACTTCTAGTTTTCTCCCTTTAGACAAAGGTTGAATCTAGTTCCTTTCTTTTCCACGGAGATTTTGAAAAATATTCACAGAGGACTGTATAGACGAGTAATTGTGGTTTGCAAAATTGACTTATACACATACTTTATCCCCAAGCGAATTGAAAATGTCTTAAATGTTATCAGACTGACTCGGAAAACGTACCAATGTTAGATACAAGCATGACATTTCAAAATAGGTCCTTGAAAACTCTTTAGAAGATCGATCAATGAAGCAAACATTCTTAGCGTCTTAAACGAAGTATTTGTTTGAACAAGAGAAAAGCAGCTTACAAAAAAACTCGATTTGTATACAGTAGCTTCCAACCTCGAAAATAGCCACACATAATGTCCGCATGTAAAGACTAACTGACATTTTTTTAGAACACGTCCCAGTTTCATTCGGTAGAACAGAAGGAATAAACGTAAAACCATTCATTTTGTAACATGTGGCTGATCGTGACTTACCTTCAGATACATAGTTTGATGTTATCTTTAAACTTACATTTAATGCATTGAAAGGTGTCCATTTGCATCTCCATTGAATGGCATAAGCATTAACAATGCCCTATCTCAAGTCATAGTGTTGTGAACGAGGACACAGGCGTAAGTAAAACCTCGGTGCCTATAATTTAAATAAAGAATGGACTATAAATATCTCTAAACTCTGATAACCGAGTTGGCTAATAAAGGCTGCTGTGGATATTCAGAGTAATAACTTTAATCAATTCGAAGCCGTGTTTCCTAATTCTAACCAATATTAAAATTCATGTTTAGCTTCCGTGTGCTGACGTCAGTCTGGATCGAATGTGTAGGCTATTTTCCGCGCACAAGATGCCACCTACCATATGACAATATCATCCGCACATTGTGAGACAATCAAATGTACTTACCTACTTGCGCCAGTTACCCCTCATGGAGGAGCATAGGCCGCTGCTGGTCAACAGCATTACCCATCCAACTCTGTCCTGAGCAATCCTTTCCAGTTGTTATTCATCCTTTTCATGTCTGCTTCCAATCCTCAGTGCACTATGCTCTTTGTTCATCTACCTTTCCGTTACCTTGCACGATTCCAAGTTAGCACTTGCCTCATGGTACAGCTCGGTGATTTCTGTAATGTATGTTCCATCAAATTCCAGCATCTTTTCCTAATTTCTTCTTTAACTGGAAGCTTGTTTGTTCTCTCCCACAATAAACTATTGCTCATGGGATCCAGACAACGAACATTCAGTATCTTGACTAGACAACTATTTATAATTACTTGTATCTTCTGATGCTGGTTGTAGTAGTTCTGCAAGTTTCAGGTCCGTACAGTAGAACTGCCTTGACGTTCGTATTGAAGATTCTGACTTTTATACTGGTCGAGTTTTTTTTGAGTTCTATATATTCTTCAACTGTAGGAATGCATCTGTTGCTTTGTCAATCATTGCCCTTACGTCTGCATCAGATCCTCCTTATCCATCGATGATACTTCCCAGGTACGTGAAAGTTTACACCGCTTCCAGTGCTTCTCTTTCAAGTGTGACTTCGCTGATACTCGCTAAGCTTTATATATATATATATATATATATATATATATATATATATATACGGATTATTGAAGTTGTGACTACGTTTGAAAGTTAGAAAAAATTGAACACATTGTCTTATCTTAGTAAACAAACAAAACTAAATTACTTCCAATACCTATAAAAGATATTTTATTTTGATTACATAAAAGAACTGCCAATTGAATATCTTTTATTGATACAAATGATGTGTAGTTCCTTTTTGTTATGCCGTAATTGCAATTTCGACCATAAAGACATGAAGTTGCACAATACATTTAAGTGAAGACAAAGCCAGATTCCAGGTAGACATTGTATATTTTTTCAATCGCACTGATATATGCAGCTGTACGAACATCTAATCCAAGGTTGTAGGCATTCGCAATATTCATGATGCGCTGTAATATTATAAAAATAAATTAAAATTACGAACAAACGGGTAAAGTATATTAACAACAAGAAATAAAATCTATAAAACATTCTTTAGAATTAGTTGATTATGAAACCGGAGAAATAGCGACTGTAAGGGTACCTAAGGGAATAGGATTAATTTCATAAAATGAAATAACGATTTTATTTTACTTTTGACCAAATAACTAGTTTCCATTAGACCAATGTGTTGTGACTTTATGAGCCGCTTGTTATCACGTAATCTATTCGCCAATCAAAATACGACTTATTCGCTCTTATACTGTACAAAGTCAATGACATCCGAACGGTCTGATCAGCCTAGCGTCCTATTGGACCGTTGCTCGCCTAACCCGTCCAGCTGAGTCCAGAATGCCAATAACAGTCTCCACTATGCGAATCATTTATTTCAAACATACTGGGTTTATATACCAAACAAACAAACCGCAATGCAGCATAAAATAGGAAATAACATTCATATAGAATAAAGCCAAAAAGTGGCTGTGAATGTGAGAGGCAGTAGTCAATAAACTGAACACAGCTTAAGAACAGTAAATCGTACAATAATAATATATAGGTCGAAATAAAGCTTATAACAAGGGGAATATAGATATACATAATCTAGTTACTGAATATTTACACCATAAGAATATATTAGTATTATTAGTCCATTAATAGGTTTCAGACGTTACTAGTAATGTAACCTTAACTAGGATAAAACACAATGGACTCTATGTAAAAAGCGAGAGAGATTGATAATTACCTCTTGAAGTGATAACAGAGTGGTAGTGAACATTACATCTGATGTAATGACTAAAATATACCTGATAAATGTTATTCAGGCTGATTTACTGACAACATACGTGTCGTACTAAGAAAACGAAATTAAGTTGACGGATTAAGTGCATGTTTAACAAGATCTAAAACAATTAGTCCCTTTCATAAAGTTTAACAAACCAGTGAAAAGCATTATTGATCTGAAAAATAAGGTGCATTCACTCTATACATTTCGAACAATCTGGAAATAAGTACACATATCGAGGCATTTTAAAATGGAAAACAATGAAATTTAATTGATCTCCAGTCGACCTGAATGGCAAGTTAATGAAAATCCTCAGACTCTTTAGGAAATTGAAAAAGCTATAGAAAATCTGAAGCGAGGGAAAGCAGCAGGCCCTGAAAGGTTTAACCCTGAGTTTTTAAGGATGGTGGTCCAGTATTAGTAGAGAGATTGACCGAGGTCTTAGGTAGAATATGGGAACTGTACGTAATCCCATCTGACTGGTCTCAATCACTGATCGTGCCAGTCTATAAGAAAGGACAAAAGTCCTCTTGTGACAACCACAGAGGAAAAAGCTTGACTAATATAGTGTCTAAAACATTAGCTTCAATAATACTTCGACGCATAACTAAAGCTCGTGAAGAGCAGAATAGAGAAAACCAGACTGGTTTTCAATCTGCACGTGGTTGTATAGACCAGATATGCACACTACGTTAGGTTCCAGAACACAGACACACATTCAGACGCCCCACAATCGTAGTATTTCTCGACCATAAGCCAGTATTCGAGGTTCAATAGCAGTGTTTATAACTGAAAGGAGTACCAAAGAAGTACATTAACCTTATAAAGGCTCTCTACTCGAACACAACTGGTAGAGTGAGAGCTTATGGCGAATCGTCATCAGAATTGATTACCTCAAGTGGTGTTCGTCAGGGCTGTCCACTCTCTCCATTCTTGTTCAACTTTTTCGTCGACGTGCTTTTAGAGATAACACTTTCCTCATCTAAATTTCCAGGAGTTGGACTTTTACCGGGAAATTCACTTTTTGACCTAGAATATGCTGATGACAGTTCTATTTGGTGAAGATGCTGACAAAATGCAGTCCTCTGACCACTCTAAGCAACAATGTAAGCATATTCGGCATGCGATTCTCTCCCTCGAAACGCGAAATACTGCTTGAGGATCGGGTTGCATTGACACCCGAATTAATGATAGGGAGTGAAGTAGTTGAGCGTGTCAACCACTTCACTTATCTTGGGAGTCTCATTAGCCCTTGTGGTCTGGTGTGTGACGAAATCTCAGCACGGATACAGAAGGCTCGACTAGCTTTTGCCTACGTGCATCATTTATGGCGTAGGCTAGACATCCGTCTACCAAACAAAGGACAGGTTTACTGTGCAGCAGTTCTTTCAGTTCTACATTATGGCAGTGAAACATGGCCAGTAAGAGAGAGAGCATCCGTAGGTGACTAGTATTTGATCATAGGTGTCTTCGAAGCATGGCTCGTATATCCTGGGACTATCGAGTAAGTAACGCAGTTGTTAGGACACGGGTACTAGGTAAGGATGGCAAATCAATTGATGAAGCAGTGAAACTTCATCAGTTGAGATGGCTGGGACACGTGTTACGTATGCCCAACGACCGACTGCCTCGACGCGCGATGTTCAGTGGTATAGGAGTAGGTTGGAAGAAAGCTAGGGGCGGCCAGAACAAAACATGGCACAAGTCCATGAAGTCACTGACAAGTGGACTGAGTCATGTACAAGGAGAAGAACTCTAATGAAGTTCGTAAGCTAAATGGTCTGATAAACCTAGAGATTAGACGTCTCAACTGTATGTTTACTCAAAAGCTCTTATCTTGCAAAAACTCTCCAAGTATGTGGAAATTCTTTAGAGAACTTACAGGTGACAGAAAGTTTAGAATCGATAACCAGCTGAATGTTTGTGACTTAAATAAGTCTTTTGTACGTCAGTCATCAGATGTGATGCTCCCTCTATCCACGGGTTTAAAAACTAGCTGTGTTCCTACTTTCACTGAAACTGATGTACGAGGATGTCTCCAGTCGCTTAATTCATCTGGATGTTTGGGACCTGATGGTATCCCAAACATTCTTTTTAAAAAATGTGCTGACGTTCTGTGTCATCCGTTCACAACTATATTTAACAGATCCTTCTCATCTAATCTCATACCGAAAATGTGGAGAAAGATGAAGATAATTCCTGTACCCAAGAAAGCATTTGGTGATAAGAATGTAAAATTTAGACCTATTGCAATAACTTCACCCTTCCTCAAAATCATGGAAAAATTATTAATTCTTCCACTTCAGCCTGCGATAAAAGAGCATACTGACCCATACCAGTTTGCATACAGGCGCAAAAGAAGCACTTTAGATGCTGTTGCAGTTCTGCATCACAACATAGTGTTCAACTTAGAAAAGGGTAAGAAGTATGTTCGATGTACTTTTCTGGACTATACTTCAGCTTTTGACTCTATACCAAGACAACGTTTACTTAACAAGTTAATCAGCGTCAACACTGACAGCTGGATAACCAACTGGCTATGTTCCTACCTCTCTGGAAGGGAACATTACACTGTGTTTGGAGGAAAGAGTTCAGAGTCTCTACTGTCTCATGAAGGTGTACCACAAGGAGCTGTTCTTTCACCTCTTCTATTCTCTTTTTTTCTGCATGACCTGCCATCTTCCACAGAAAACACTTTTGTGAAGTATGCGGATGACCTCACTGTATGTATGCCTATATCTTCCTCTTTACATCCCATAGAAATGAATGAGTTTTTGTCTCGTATTGATTGTTGGTCTGTTGGTAATGGTCTCATACTTAATCCGTCTAAATGTCAAGCTGTTAACTTTAGCATGAGACATGAACGGAATCTAAACACCATTTTGAGAACCCATAGTGCTTGTACCATCGGAGACTTTGATAAACACAGTGTCGAAGGTCAATTATCTTGGTGTCACCTTTTCCTCTGATCTGTCTTGGTTTTCCCACGTTTTATCGTTATCGAAGAAGGTTTTCCGTCTGACCTATTACATAAAGAGATTGCATGCTCTTGGAATTACTCGTCATTTACTCTTACAATTTGTCAATTCTGGCATACTACCTATTATTCTTTACTGTTCTCCATTATTCTTTCCCGGGCTTTTGAGAAAAGACTTTGCTGTATTGCGAAGAGTGCTGAAGGCAGTTAGTAAGGTGTGTGGTGAATCTTTCGAGGTCATAATTAATACGGTGGATAGACATTTAAAATCATGCAAACTCCTGGCAGGTGTCATTTTATCAGATACTAGCCATCCCCTTCACTCTTATCTTTCTCCTTGTATATCTTCTGGTAGAACGAGACGTAATTACATTAAGATCCATGCACGCAAGGAAAAGTACAAATGTTCTATAATACCTTATCTAGCAAATATACTCTGTGACGAACAGGTTGTTAGAGTTAATCTAGCCAATAACCTGTATTCTTAACATGACTTTAATTTTAAATGTTGTACTGTTTTTCAGATATTTTTTTTAAACTTTTTTTGTCTTTGTTACTATTTTTGTTTGCATAAGTAACTTGTTGAAATACCCTGTGCTGAGAATTCTATATTGTACCAAAATATAATATTGAATAAAGCCATTAATAATAATAATAATAATAATAATAATAATAATAATAATAATAATAATAATAATGTTGGTAGGTGTAGACTACCTGGTTGGGGACCACGAGGTGATAGCAACCGATGGTTAGAGACCCTGAATGACATGGCTCGAAATCGTTTGCAATGGCGCAGGTGCATCCACTCTTTGTGTTCTCCCAAATTCCAATCTTCTGAATTCATGTCCCTTTTTTCCTCTTTCCAAATTTATTTCACTGGATTATACTCTTTAAATAACATCTCCAAACCCTAATCTTTCCGATTACTGCTTATACTCTTGCCACCTCTACCACTACGGGATCTGACTCGACAACTGCATCTCTGTGCTAATGTGGTGTGGCAACTCGAACTGATGTACGTACGTACGAAGTTCTACGTTGTTACTGATTGAATGAATAGAAAGTTAACATTTTATCCAACTGAATTTCGTTAGTTTTTATAACTGCTTTGACAATTATATGTGACCATATTGTTCGTAACGTATAATGCAAATACATCACAATTTTGACATTAACTACATCTTCTTACTGCTCTGGTAGAATTACAATGTACATCATGTTAGATCAAACAATGATCAATTAAATATTTCAGTTTTAGTATTTTGCTTTCATTTTTGAAACAATGAATCTAATTAACTAGGAGTGGTTGGTTGATAAAACGCAATTGTGTTTTGATATATGTTCATATCAGCGTTTATACAACTACGATAGCATATTGGTTAAGTTGAATCTCGGATAGACAAAGAGGAATGTTTGAGATCTAGTGTGTGGGTGCAACTCCAAAACCAAACATACTAGAGTTATAACCGATAACCAATGAAATAAATGTTTAAGACCCATACGTCAGACGATATCAAGATGACATCTAAATGTGATTCAACAGTGCTTAATCAAGCATATTCCAACATGAAATATCAGTCTATTTAGCGTAAAATGTAATAAAAGTCATATTTTCAAATACATCTTTTTGTTTCCAAAGTCTATTTATCTTGACTTTGTACAATCAAAATAACCGAAATAGCCTAATCAGAGAAATGAGTGAGTGACTTTTTTTAACGATATAAATTTCTGCTGCCGTTATGCTAGTGACTCTTGATCCCTAACGAGGGCTGAAACTGTTAAATCCGAATGAAGAATAAATGAGTGGTAACTGCTAGGAATTATTTATGGACTATTATCACATATATTCTTATTGGATAACTATTATGTAAATAGTGTTTTTTGTAAATTCATGTTCCTTTTATCATAAGCTTTCATCTGACCTATTGACTACTATTATACAATTCAGTATTCTCAAATTATTACCAATCGATTAGTTAGTCTCTTACACTCATAGCCACTTTTGGTTTAATCTTGTATAACTGTTATTTTCTATTTTATGGTGTGGTCTGGTTTGCCTGTATATAAACTACGTATGTCTGAAATATATTATCCATACAGTGGAAGCTGAGATTGTGTTCTAGACTCAAAGGGCAGGGCTATGCGATAAATTACTATTTTGAGGACCACTGAGGATTCAGAGTTGACACAAGGCTACTAGTGCTGGTTGACATGTCACTAGTTTAGCACAGGAATGAGGTTATATAATTCAGGATTCTGATTAACGGTTTTGTCACGTGATAATTGACAGGGGCAGAAACCATAACAGAAAAAACTAAGGTTTAAGTACTCTTGATCATCTGCTTTAACTACACCTTTCGGAATTTAAAGAATAAGGAGGATAGACGTAGAACTATTAATTAACCGGATATCAATCAGTAATACATTGGATGGTACTTATATTATGATGACATCTAAAACATGAAATAATTGTTCTAAATGTAATTATCACACTGAATCACACTATAAAACTAAGTTGGTGTAAATTTACTTTAGCAGATCGCTCCATAGTATACTCCAGACCAGAGTGAACAATATCGCGTTCAGATGCCCCCTGAAATGTTAATGTAAAAGCAAATTAAGTAAACTAGATATTATTATTGAATTTAAAAAAATAGATTAAGTACAAATAATGATAATCGTAAGATGCAAATCGACCACTGTATTCTGTAAGTGGATTATCGTATTAAAAGCAAGTGTCTTGGAAAATAAAGTACGAGAATTGAAACTAGTATCATATTAACATCAATACGATCAAATATAGGGGATATCAAAAAGCTTTAGAAATTACAGATCTATATATTCATTTAAAGGGCTCAGCAGTTTACGAGGCTATAAGTAACAAAATATGTATTCAATTTTTTAAATTCCAGTGATTTACTAAAAACTTGATTAGTACATTTGTATCTAAAGAGAATTTTGTTAGATTTTTAGACTCATAAAAATCATTCAACAGAGCAACTATGTGATTCGAATATAGTTTAGATTACGGAATGAAAACCGTTGAAGGATCACTGAAATCCAGCAAGCATTGATCAGTGTATTCTGTAATTTAGGAGCACGAAATTCCGACATGGATTTAATAAACTTGCTTGGCTTTTGCCAGATTGAGTTACTTGTGAGGTGGGCTTATTGAATGGCGAATATACAGCATACCAGTTTAATCAGGCATATGGGTTTGAGAGTAAAAAAACATATGTAGGCTGTGGATATTTGACCATAGTTGCTTTCAAAGAATTCTTCATTAATTGTGGAACGATCAAGTGAACAATCGTAAGACTAGGCATAGGATACTAAGTGTAGATGGGGTTGTGAATCTTGAACGACTGTGGCATGTTTTATGTATGTTTTATCACAGCTTACCTCGAAGTGCGATATTGTCTGGCAGAGAAATAGGGATAGACACACCAAAGACATGTCATCAGTTTGTGAAATCACTGACTATTAAACTAAGCTGAGTTGACAGACCCACATGTTCTGGTCGAGGTCCGCTAGATAACGAAAACCAATGGTTGGCGACTTTGGGTCAAAGTGGGACAGATGCATCCGCCCTGTATTCTCGCTTAAATGTAAGCTTTAACATTATTTTAAACTTTTTATTCGTCAAATTCAACCCTTCTCGAAATAAGTATTTCAACGTTTAATCTTTCTACATTATAATTGATACGACTATTATTTCGAATGTTTCACTATTAATCATGTTAATTTTATCTCACTATGACGTTTTATGGTAACTTCGGCTAATATTTTTTCTAGGTTCTACGTTCATCTACTTGTCAGTCATACACACCGGTAACCTGAAATATGATTGAAGCCTATCAAAGTTATTTTATCCTAAAGCTAAAAGGCAACTCCTTGACCCAAACTATAGTTTAGTTTCCAAAGACAACCTGGAACAGATGAAAGCAAATTTATCATTACATATAAGACGGACAAAAACGGTTTCAGTAAAACATTATTTCAGATTTACTCTATATACTGTAAAAGTTTTCTGTACTGACCAACCGTCTAAACTCCCAATCCTTTTAGATAATCTACAGAGATGGACATAACCCGAAAATTGACACAGTATTACTACAAAGATCTATCAATTGAAATCATTTGAGTTGAGAAGAGTAACTTTAGCACTAGGTATCCAACATTAGGCTACACAAATACAATACAAATCAAGACATGTCACCTTACAGGTAAGAAGCCTCATCGTTACAAGGTTTATATAAGTACATTATTAAACCGTAGTTTGTAGATCATTCAAAAAATGTATAACAAGGAATTGTCATTTGCAATGGATAAATGTTATGAAACTGCAGTTAAACAGCCTCAAACATGCACAATAAACTTTATTAATAAGTTACTCAAGGTGTGCACATATTAAAGAGACAAGAATCCATCACTGAATAAGTATGGGCCATTGTAGCACGCCGAACACTAAACAACAGTGCTCAACAAACCAAATTTAATGTAATTCGAGTGTGGTGCAACTACATATAGATTATTTATGTAAGCTGGATCTAATACAAATACTTTAACAGGCTATGGTTTATGTGGATACAATTTTCAGGAAGAATTTGCATACAATGGATGGTCTAATAACAAGATAGCATACTTTCCAAATAATTTTACTTTTGATAACATGACAAAAACAGGAGACCAAAAATAGCAAATTACCGCAATGCGAAGCTGAAAATCTTCGGATGGTGTTATCGGTATTTTGTCAGCGAACTTCTTCTCTAGAGACTGTTGTACACTATCTGTAATTTTAAAAAACGAGGTAAATAAATTTATCTCTGGATAAAAATGTGAAGTGAATGAGTTAAATGTTAATTTCTCTTTACTGACCACATTGGAATGGAAAGTGGTGAGCGAAAAATTCGACTAACATTCAAAATATGACAACAGCTACCAGCTACAGCTTGAGGCACCTAGAATTCCAGCCCCATATGTGAAACTAGCATACATACACTTCCAGGTTGCAAAAAAAGATTCAATTTTAACTCTAATTAGCTATCCCAAATATTCAAATCTTAAGCTTTTCACAATTCGGAACCTATTTTTTTCCACGTCAGTCTACCCCCTCCAATTTTTTGATTCAATATTTCTCTTATCTTTCCTGATTTTCTGTGTTACTGTAAAACGCAGTAACTTAAACTAGTGCTTTCATGTATGACTACTGTTTTTAGATAATTCTCGATGAACTGGCAGGCACTAAATGGGCATCAGAGACAGAAATGAAAGAGTTAAACTGTTGTTACTAAGTGGGGTTCTTAGTTTTACCTTAGATTACATTTCATTCATAAATTAGATAAAACCTTAGTTGGTTTGAGCAATCAAAACTCCTCATCGTATTCTGCTTCCTGTTTGTCAGTCTGCTCGTCTGCCATTGATTGCTGCTGAATAATGGACAGTTAAGCTGTTTCTCAAGACGTTGAGCCCTGGAAGTAGATTATCGACCCACAACTCCCAGCAGTTATTGCTAACCGATTGATTGATAAGGTTAGAGATCAATACCAAGAGGCTAGACAAACACGACACCAGTCACTACTCAGTGGTTAATTAATTGAAGATATGTTATATTTCATATGGAATATGGACTTATAAAGACTTTATTTACGCTTTATTTCCCCCAATAGGAGGTAAACAGATGTGACCAAATGAGTTCCGATGAAAGATTTGATTCATAGTGAACAAATGCATTTCTAGACTCGCTTCAAATGAGGCATTTTTGAGGTCTGCAAGACATCTACCTAAATTCCCCTACACAGAGAAACCGTATACATACTCTTCAATCGACATGATGATATCATGGCTTACTAGAAATAACATTCTCTATACCCCAAATAAAAACTGGTCGGGCGATTTTATAGACTTTGCCAAAAATGTTATATCTAAACATAATTCACGAGTAAGTCTGTAGTAAATGAGCTTTGAGTATGATATTAAGAGCTGGTATGACCAAAAATAAATGAGTATGAGAACACATTATTACTGACTAGTGGATTCCATCAATAATTTAAACAAACTGTCGACCATTTGTACAGTGAATTTGTAATTTCACGTGCTATGGTTAATAGTAAGTTGCGCTGCTAACTAAAAACTGGGAACACTAAAGCAACTTGTCGGTTTTATTTTCGTGTCATTAACTCACGAAAAAGTCGATTATAAGAAACACCTTCACGATTGAAGTAAAATACATACTGGACGGCAACCGAATGAGTATTAGGTACGAGAAGTATTAATTCAAGGTAGATTATGACGTAAAAAGTCCATATTACTCCTTTTAATAGTTCATTAACGTAAAATATACTTTAAAAATAGTACTTATGTTTTCGATTTATGAAGATGAAATAACTTACTTAGTAACTGATAGTTGGAATCTCGTTCGTACTTAAAGGTTAGTCGACCGTAGCTCACGTGATTTAAATTTTTAAGCCATTCAAAATACGAGACAGTAACACCACCAGCATTCAGATACAAATCTGGAATAACCAGCTTATTCTTCTCCCGCAGTATCTGGAATGGAATTAAATAAGAAATATCTACAGTTGAACTGAACTTAAATATATGATTTGGCATACCGCCAACCAAGAAATTCAAATCTAGCAAACGAAGTGTGTAAGAGAATTAGTGAATACAGTGAACTAGCTAACAAAACTGTGATTTGTGGGATGGCGAAAATGTAATTTATGAACTTTATAAAAAATGCCATGAAATATGAGCGCCATATTTAGTGAATTAGTTGCCAAATGATTAATACTGTATCTAGACAAAAGTTTGTTTATGAAACAACAAATAAGCTCGCAAAAAAACTAACTTTATCAGCTTTTGGTGTAGTGGGACCATTTGCGCCCTCCCCAATTAATTTTGCTCTGATCTTATCAGCGTTGCCACTATGGATTTGCTTTTCATTTGCCGCAGGAATAAGGATATCACATTCTTCGAAAAGAAGAGAACCTTTTGTATATGGTTTTGCATGTGGAAAGCCAACAATCGTACCATTTGCCTATCGTTAAGTAATAAAACAGAAGTTTTGATAAAACAAATATAGCACGCCCAAAAATAGTGAAAACTAATACTGTAATTAACAGAAGCCAGACTTCTTCAAAGAGCAAGTCACTTACATATTTTTTTAGACGGGGTATCATGCCTTATTATTATTTATTTATTTGAACACATAAATGTTGGTACAAGAGGGAACCAAATATATATGCGCCATATATATATAATGCCTTAAGGGCAGCTAGATTTTTAACGCTGAGCTTGGTCAAAGTATGAACCAAAGATGGAATTTTATATCGTTCTTCGTAGTGAAGAAGCCAGTTTGCCGCTTTCACGAAACACAAATTCTTCTTATTACACTGGAGCAACCTCCGCCACTGGTATCGAGATAGAAAGATGTCTAGAAAGTTTTAAGTAACACGTAAAATATGTATCAATCAGAAAACTGATTCATAACAAAAGCAAATAAAATGAAATGACAGAAGCTCAGACGATACCGACAGATCTTCAGTATAGACAACAGGCAAGACAGTAACTAGTGCTGAATCAATGTGATAAACAAATTAGACAGATGTATACTGATTACTAAATTTTAAAAAATGCAATTTACAAACCCATGAAAATATCCTACCTATCAATACAAAAGAGCTGGCGCTTTATACTTTATTTTGAGGAGAAAAAACGTGAGTCGTATGCAGATGACTGTTTGGTGTTTATATTTGTGAACTACTTATGACTATATGTAATATGCTAAGAGTACAACGAGCGCATATATCGACGTTACGTGAATTCCAGTAGTATCAAAAATAGGATCCCTAAAATAATAGCTACTAAAGGCATTTACTACTTATACAGAAACTATTTAAATGATGAGAAAAGTTTGTTGTGGAATATTACGACACTTTATATGAAGTGATGCAAATTATGAATGGGATTCCCATAGATGTAAACTCAGATTACAATTGTGTTTCGTTCTGTTGAGTGGTGGTTTATTATTAAGGACGTTCAGCTTTCCACCACTAAGTCCCACATTTGGAAACCCATCTACCTGCTTCGGTTTGAGCAACCGAGAATTATCACTATTCAAAACATCTTAAGTATTGCTCTTACCCAAGTGTCTGGTCAACGAATAAGTTGACTATATCGCTCAGTCAGTCAGCTACAACGTAGGACCAGGCACATTTGTGCATCGGTCCAGGTTGCCATACCGCATCAGCACAACAAGATGAACACCGGATTCATAGCATGTAAGATAAAGATTGCATATAGAGATATAGTACAACAAGAAACAATTGGTTCGTAGAAAGAAAGATATGAAGCGATTTTAATCTCTTAGTTTAAGGGAAGACAGAAAGTGTATACACCGACGCCATTGTGATCGATTCTGAGCCATGTCACCATAGTCTCCAACCATTGGTTACGATAGTCACGCGGACCCCAACCAAGTAGTCTGCATCTGCCAACATGGCTCAGACTAGAAGTTAGTGACTTCAAGCACTGATGCCACGTTTTGGTTTGGCCGCCCCTAACTTTCTTCCAACCATTTCCAAAACCGGATAGCATTGCACGTCGTGGTAATCGGTGTTCAGGCATACGTAACACGTGGCCCAACCATCTCAGTCGATGAAGATTCATAACCTCATCAACTGATTTACCATCATTCCCTAATACCCTGCGTCTAACCTCACTATTACTTACCCGGTGATCCCAGCAGACGCCAGCAATATTTCTAAGGCATCTGTGGTCAAATACTAATAGCTTACGAGTGTCTTAATGGCCATGTTTCGCTGCCGTAAAGTAAGACAGAACGGACTGCCGCGCAGTATACTCGTCCTTTTATTGATAGACGGATATCTCGCCTTCGCCATAGGTGACGCAAGTTGGCAAAAGCCAAACGAGCTTTTCGAATCCGTGCTGAGATTTCGTCAGACACCAACCCATTAGGGCTGATCAGACTTCCAAGATAAGTGAAGTTGCCAACGTGTTCGACTACTTCACTCCCTATCCTTAGTTCAGGTGTTAACGCAGACCAGTCCTGAAGCAGCCACGACCAGGTCTAAAGCCAGCTTGGTTCTCTCGTGTTTGCAGTTCACGAGTCTTAGTTAGGCGTCTGATAATTATCGAGGCTAGTATTTTAGATATTATATTAGTTAAACTAATCCCTCTATGGTTGTCACAGGATGTTTTTGACCCTTTCTTATATATTGCGACGATAAGTGATTGTGACCAGTCAGATGGAATAACGTCTAACTCCCAGATCTTAGCTAAAATATTAGTCAACCTAATCGCTAAAATTGGACCACCATCCTTAAAGACCTCTGGAGCCAATCCAACTGGACCAGCTGCCCTTCCTCGTTTCAGATTAACTATAGCCTTTTGAACTTCAGCAAGAGTTGGGGGACCTACTTCAATGTTCCATTCACACTGTCTGGGAATGGAGGGTAGTTGTAGAGTAGCTGAAGGCCAACTGAACTGTTCTCTGAAATGTTCCGCCCATCGTTCTAAACGCCTGGACTGGGAGCAGATGAGTGTATCGTCTTTTTCCGATATAATCTCACTTACACTTGACTTATTAATTCCAGTTTCCTTTATTAGTCTGTAAAGCTGTCTTGCGTTCTCTATAGTCGCCGCCTTTTCCATCTCTTTTGCTTTCGTTGCCCACCACTGCTCACGGTTGTTTCTTAGACTTTTTCTTAACCTAGATCTGATTTGTTGTCGCTCTTCATCATGTTCAGAACCTGATGGGACGAGTTTGCGAGAATCCACCAGTGCAATAGACCTTGAAGAAATCCACTGGTTCTTTGAAACTGTGGTTTAAGTCGCTAATAGATGTCACTGCTGTTTCCACAGCTGCTTGTATTTCATTCCAAGCAACATCTGGGTCAGCCTCTTCTTCACAACTACCTAATCGTGACCTCAGTTGTTCCTGGAACCTACTTTTTGTTTCCTCGCTACTCAGTTTGGTTCTAATGGGTCTTTTTACTGTGGCTTTTTTGCGTCCAGTGAAGCGCAAGCAGATGCGTGCCCGTATTAGGGCGTGGTCGGAGTCCAAGCAGGTACTCCAGAATGAGCGACAATCTTCTACCGACCCTCTTCAACGATGACTGACGGCAATATGGTCTATTTGAGTCCATCGTTGGTTTGATGCAGGCGGTCGCCACGTTAGACGATGTCTCTCCTTATGCTTAAAATTTGTGTTTGCTAAAAATAAGCGATTGTCTGAGCACAGTTGCAGCAGACGGTCACCATTATCTGTTCGTTGTGCCGGAATGCTAAAATATCCACCTAGATGCCTTTCTGTTTGGTTTAAACTACCTATCTGAGCATTAAAGTCACCCCCTACGAGTACTATGTCTGAGCGTTTAGCTTTCTGAAGTTCAGAAAGCTTTCTGTAAAATTCATCTTTCACTTCATCTGAGCTGCAGTCAGTGGGAGCGTAGGCAGAAACGACGAAAAGGCAACGACGTGTGTCCCTATCCTTCCGAGTTTTTACGGAGCCGTTTAGCCGAACAGCACATAGGCGACTGTTGACGGGCATCCACTCTAGCAGTGCTTGTTCCGCCCTCATGCTTAGTGCTATACCTACACCTGCCAGTCCACGAGAACTGGCCATAGGGTCACCAGATACACGGAGGGTGTATTTCGTTGGCTCTGCGTTTTGCCGAGGTGAGGTCAAGCGAATGACCACACTGGAATCCTGTATGCGTGTTTCGGAGACACAGCATACATCAATGGAAAGAGACTAGGGTTTTAGCCAAGGAAGCCTGCTGACCGATTTGACATAGAGTGCGTACGTTGAAAGCTTCAATGTGTAGTTTGGAGCGAGGGTTCAGTAGACCTGGGACAGTTTTGAGCACTGGAATCGTTGGCTATGGTGACACTTGAGGAGGAAGCCGAAGGAGGAGGTTTAGGGTTGAAAGTCGATGTAGGAGGAATAAGAGGAATTGAAGCGGAAGGTTGATTATGAATACAGTGGTCTCGAGTGCTGTTAGAGGTATGAGGGCGGTTATCACTTCCCGGTTGCCCACACCGAGGAAGGGTTCTTCTGGAGGTACATGAAAAGCAAATTGGATTAGAAGTGGTCCCAGTGAACTGAGAGCGTGACCGCAGTGCCCAAGGGACAACTGCTTGAGGCCGGTTGCGCACGGCCTTTTCGTGAGAGGTTTTTGACGTGTTAGCTCCGTTCTTCAAAGGGCTTTACCGCCGGAGATGGAAATCCGTGAGGTAAGGTGAGGTGTGCATTTTTAGGGTCGACCTTTTCTAACCCCACCCCTCCTTGTGGGAAGGCAGCATCGCTGTCATGCTGGTTGTCTGAAGGAAACATCTTACTGCTGTCACACCTCTGTACAGTCAGCAGTACGACTTCGCCTTCGGACCTTGGGTTTGTTGCTTTTAGTCTTACCGCTCTTCAACCGACCTGTCTGACAACGGTAGGACCTTGAGGAACGGTTGTTCCAGCCAGTATAGCTCGGTTGCTTCATCACGATAGGCAAGCCCGACCACCACGTCAAGGTAGCAACAACGGTCGGGCTAGAGTTCAGTAAGTTCTTACCGACACGAGCGGATTAGTCACGTGTCGAAACTTCATACATAGCCAAGGTTATCTCATGAAGTGGAAATTTGAAATATGAACTATGTCATAATCTATCGACGCAATCACCTATTTTCGAATTGGCACCTAGGTAATAGTATATCACATCTATTTTATTTATTTGTTTATTTAAACACATAAACACTAATACAAAGAGGGACCAAAAACATACATGTGGCACACAATAAATATCAGATTGTGAAGAGATAGAGAAACGATGAGTATAATAAAAAAGAACAACAGTGAATAGAAATTAATGCATGAGGGTGAAACAATAATAATAATAATAATAATAATAATAATAATAATAATAATAATAAGAGCAGTTCAGTTAGGCAAAATACAACCATACAGAGGATTCAATTAGGGAGTTCCTCTTACTTATATGAAGAAAGTAAGAGCTACAGAATGATCGCTACTGGATTCTACTCTGAACACCGTGTCGTATCGCCTCAAGGACTTTGAACAGAATCGTGAAGAAACAACGGATGCCGGTCCTGTACAGCTTTCTTTCGTACCCCAGTACTAAGTCAAAAACCAACAACACCTTCGCATTTTCCAATCAGTCCTTGCGTCAGCAAATAATACACGATGTGGAATTTACTGAGACAAAATTCGTAGCACATGTACAACTCACCGAAGTCAGTGATTCGAAATGGTCACATCAAATGAGTTATCATCGCTGTGCCCAAATACACGTTGATGAACCTCTGCGCTCCTAACATGGCGTGTCACTGGATGTCAGCAAACTTCCAAAGACAACGACGATCAAACACAGAGTCGTTTAACATCCTCAACTTCGAGATCAGGTTCCATAACCATACCATATAATTGCTCTCATCGACGCATTACAGATCCAACCCTTTACAATCACACTAACATCATAAATGGCCCAAATTGGCATAAACTGCTCTGGCCTTCCCTATACGTGAACTGATTTCATCATTCATATCACTACCAGCATTTATGCAGCTACCCAGATACATGAACTTCTCGACTACTTCTATCTGTTCACTACCAAGAGTGAACTCAAGTTCAGGATTCTCCCAGTCCTGTACAAGTACTATGCACTTAGAAGATGGAAAGTACACGCCATACATACGGACACTGATTATGTGCGGATTGCATGAATTGGATATCATCGTACAGCAAGATAATATCATCCGCATACTCAAGATAGAAAAGTCTTTCTCCAGATAACAACCACATCACAATTATCTACACCCATCATGGGTGCATCTTAAACGTCATTCATGGGAAATTGGAAAGGAATGATGAGATTCGGTAACCCTGTCTAACCCTACTGCTTGAATACACAATGGAGAGGTGGTTGTATGCTTTCATTCTCTTTGAAGTGTTTGTATATAGAACCTTAAAGATGTTAATACTCTTCTCAGGTATACCCTTCTTCAACAGACAATCTCAGAGAACAATTTAGTTCAATGGATCGAAGGCGGCCCTGATGTCGAAGAACACAATGATTGTTGACCTGAAATAAGCTAGGCGGCGTTCTGACATTTAACAGGGGGTGGAGATATGATAAATACATCTTCGAGCAGATCGAAATCTAGCCTGCTTCTTGCGCAGACAAGGGTATGATCAGTCTTGTACACAACCACGCCAACTGAACGCGATGTGATCAATCTGAGTCCAGGCTTGAATGCAGAGTTAGGACACCAGGTAGTACATCGGCGATTACTGTACCGGCAGTTAGTCCTAATCAGAAACAGTCTGTAGTCTGTGCAAAGTTCCAGTAGACGCTCACCGTTATCTGACCTGCAACCGACGAGTTCCCATTGGCTACTTAAACGGATCCCCTCAGTCTCTAGACGCCCGATCTACACATTCGAATCTCCGGCTAGTACCACAATATCTGTTGGACGCACTTTCCGGAGACCACTTAACTGGTGATAGGACTCATCCTTGATAGAATCCAGGCAATCTGTTGGGGCATAGGCGGAGATCAAGAAAAGTAATCGTTTCTCACACCGATTTCTTCTCAATTTGATGAGGCATTCTTACTTAGTAGTAAATAATCGACCGTTGATTGGGACCTCATAGATTAGTCCTGCTTATATTCTGGAGCTTAGTGCAACGCCAACGCTACCAAAACCGGACGAAGACGTCACAGGGTCCCTGGATAACCACACACGAAACAAGCTTTTGAAGCAGCAGATGGAGAGCCAATTTACAGTTCTTCACTAGAGTCTTGAATACAGATATCGGATAGACAACAGACATCGATGTTGAAACCTTCTGATTACCTAGCCAACCCTATCTGTTGTCCGATCTGGATTAGTGTGCTTGTTGAAGGAGGCTAGTTAGGGTGGCATAGGTGGATTCAGAAAGGCTGGTTCAGAAGTCGTGTTCGGTGGTAGTGCTTAACCCTTGACCAGTCAGTTACTTGAGATCGTTTAAATAGGACAGGATTTCTACCATAGGTGAGCTGCTACATGAGTTGAAGGATAAAGGAATACACAAAGTGTGATTGAAGGGATAGACAAGTGGTTCAATGTAAAAATGACTAATTACAATTAGTTTCGAGTATGATTTGCGAGGATGGGAGTAAAAGCATAAATAGTTTATCTAGTTGCAGTCGTTACTTAGTTCGTGTGGTTCGGGATACTACTTGGGCGCCCATACCGAAGTAGGTGGTTTTCTTAAAAACAGTCCCATAGTAATTTCAGTGAGTAGAACTTCCCTGGTACTGGTTATATAGACATAACCATATGGGAGCATTTCGAAAGGAAGAGTAAACTATCCACACCCTCAGCCATACCAGGGTATTTGGAGGCGTTACATAGCTATAACGAGTGATGAACCACATGCTCGTTTAGCATATTCGAGTAGTTCACAAAAAACAGTTTTACTATCTGTATTTCATACACTGTTGCCAGTAAAGGAAACTGCATAGATGAAGCATCATGATAATGAACATGAATAAACCCTAGAATTAAAAATTTAAATATTCGATCAATGGACGCCACAAGTAACAATGAACTGCAGACCCTTAGATGAGTAACTCATGTTCAAATTACGAAACCACTGGTCAAATAAAATCGCTTCAGAAAAAACTTTCAAAAGGTAAACTTCAGGAATTAGTAGACAAAACGTCTGTTACAAAAGGATACCAAAAAATAAGACAATAAAACTTACGATTTGCCAATCTTCGAGTTCTCGTGGGTCTATACCATCTGCGTTGTAAATCTGTCCGTCGATTTCAGCAATACCAATACATTTTGCACCAGCTCGTACAAGATAACGCATTGTATGCAAACCAACATTCCCGAATCCCTGAACAATGAAAGTTTTATCCTTCAGCCCCGGGGATAAACCGATAGCATCTGCATATTTTGGGTTATTTAAGAAGTTGTCTATCCCATGATAAACCCCCTGAAAAGTTAAAGTTATCAACAACAAAAATGCAGCAGTTAGCAATAAAACGTTGAACATGGAAGTTCATAATCAACCCAAATGTATGGTCACTGATATTGTAATATAAAACAAAAAAGAGCTTGGAAATTACTGCTACAACAAAAACGTTTACGAGTTTTTCGGTTGCGAAGTTAATATTTGTGTAAACTTAGTACGGTTAACAGGTGGAAGTGATTATTAGACGATAACTTACGCGTCCTGTTGCAGAAATGCGACCGTGAATACCACCCATAGCGATAGACTTTCCTGTCACACAAGCATGACTGTGCATATCGTTATGTCCTACAAAAAAGCAATGAAGTTCCAAAAATGTTAAAGTAATATGTTTGAAACCTGGAAAAAACAGAAAAGATGTGTCTAAACAAACTAATATGAGCTTACCAATAATGCGCAAAACACTAGTTAACGATTAATTTGAACGTACCTACGGTGTTTGCATACGTATCCGCAATCCAGCTCATTTCCCGGGGTCCAGTCCCCATATCCGGAGCAGGAACATCAGTTCCAGGACCTGAAGACCTACATGAATTTATACGAACTAACCAAGAAATCCTTGTTTTGCCAACTCTAGTGCAAACCGACGGGTTATCCTTTCTAATTCTGCCGGAGAGTGGTCTTTGGGATTTATCTTAATTCCCCCCTTGGCACCACCAAACGGAACATCTACGACAGCACATTTGTAGGTCATCAGAGCAGCAAGAGCCATAACTTCTTCTCTGCATACATCCATACTATACCGAATGCCACCCTTAGTGGGTCGCCTGTGCACACTATGTTGAGCTCTAAAGCCCTGAATGATCTTGAACGTTCCGTCATCGGCTTTATGGGGAAAGTTAACCTCGAAAATGTGAGTAGGTGGCCGAATTATGTTAAGCGTTCCTTTAACAATCTTTGTTTTTTCATTATCTGGAGCTTTTGATTGAAGTTTTGACATCAAATTTTGTTCAACAAGGGCTGAAGCCTTGTCATAATAACCTTCAACCATGAGATGAAACGGTATATCATCTTGTTCAGTGCTGTATGGACATTTTCGAACATTCACAAAATGAAAAATTGATTTTCGACACAGAACTTCAGGCTTATGTATCAAATTACTAAACAAACCCGCTAACATTTTTGAAGTGGAAACAACCTGGAAGAGAAAACAAATGGCAAAACAACAGTGAAAAAAAACTCAAGCGATCGGATTTATGTATAATTTAATAGTGAGATTATAATTCATAGATTCTAGCGCAAAATGAAATCAGCAAAACTGTTAGATAGAATTTCGGTATTCTATCTGATGTGAATTCGTGGTGAAAACCCTAGCCTAATTTCTTAACCTCACCGTCCAGATGTAAATCTTATTCCTAACTCCTCACACTGATTTACAAACTTCATATAAAGTTTGTTATATATATAACCCCAAAAAGCAGGTGGACATCCACAAGGTCACATAAACTCGCATACAGTTGGTCCATATAACATAGTACCGTCAACTATGAAGATACAAGCTAAAAACACAAGCAATAACGTAGCAAACCAAGTTTACAGTGAAATCAGTTTCCCACGCAACTATCCAGTACAACTAAGTCAAACTAACAAACTTGGATAGTTTAAGGAAGACCTTGAGATCAACCAATCAAATACTAGCCAATCAGAAAGTAGGTCACGAGAATGAACGAGAATGAATGCAAAACAACAAAATTCGGTTTCGAAATTTCAGGATTTCATATTCATATTTCTAAATAAGACGCTTTTCCGAAAAAGATTTGCAAAGCAACGGATGCATTCCTACAGTTGAAGAATATATAGAACTCAAAAAAACTCGACCAGTATAAAAGTCAGAATCTTCAATACGAACGTCAAGGCAGTTCTACTGTACGGACCTGAAACTTGCAGAACTACTACAACCAGCATCAGAAGATACAAGTAATTATAAATAGTTGTCTAGTCAAGATACTGAATGTTCGTTGTCTGGATCCCATGAGCAATAGTTTATTGTGGGAGAGAACAAACAAGCTTCCAGTTAAAGAAGAAATTAGGAAAAGATGCTGGAATTTGATGGAACATACATTACAGAAATCACCGAGCTGTACCATGAGGCAAGTGCTAACTTGGAATCGTGCAAGGTAACGGAAAGGTAGATGAACAAAGAGCATAGTGCACTGAGAATTGGAAGCAGACATGAAAAGGATGAATAACAACTGGAAAGGATTGCTCAGGACAGAGTTGGATGGGTAATGCTGTTGACCAGCAGCGGCCTATGCTCCTCCATGAGGGGTAACTGGCGCAAGTAGGTAAGTACATTTGATTGTCTCACAATGTGCGGATGATATTGTCATATGGTAGGTGGCATCTTGTGCGCGGAAAATAGCCTACACATTCGATCCAGACTGACGTCAGCACACGGAAGCTAAACATGAATTTTAATATTGGTTAGAATTAGGAAACACGGCTTCGAATTGATTAAAGTTATTACTCTGAATATCCACAGCAGCCTTTATTAGCCAACTCGGTTATCAGAGTTTAGAGATATTTATAGTCCATTCTTTATTTAAATTATAGGCACCGAGGTTTTACTTACGCCTGTGTCCTCGTTCACAACACTATGACTTGAGATAGGGCATTGTTAATGCTTATGCCATTCAATGGAGATGCAAATGGACACCTTTCAATGCATTAAATGTAAGTTTAAAGATAACATCAAACTATGTATCTGAAGGTAAGTCACGATCAGCCACATGTTACAAAATGAATGGTTTTACGTTTATTCCTTCTGTTCTACCGAATGAAACTGGGACGTGTTCTAAAAAAATGTCAGTTAGTCTTTACATGCGGACATTATGTGTGGCTATTTTCGAGGTTGGAAGCTACTGTATACAAATCGAGTTTTTTTGTAAGCTGCTTTTCTCTTGTTCAAACAAATACTTCGTTTAAGACGCTAAGAATGTTTGCTTCATTGATCGATCTTCTAAAGAGTTTTCAAGGACCTATTTTGAAATGTCATGCTTGTATCTAACATTGGTACGTTTTCCGAGTCAGTCTGATAACATTTAAGACATTTTCAATTCGCTTGGGGATAAAGTATGTGTATAAGTCAATTTTGCAAACCACAATTACTCGTCTATACAGTCCTCTGTGAATATTTTTCAAAATCTCCGTGGAAAAGAAAGGAACTAGATTCAACCTTTGTCTAAAGGGAGAAAACTAGAAGTTCATTATCTGGTCGACTGGAGTTAGATTATGCGGATAAATCTCTTTACGAAGAAACCATTGAGAAATGAAATCTTAGAGTTTGATCCAGTTTTCAAGATAGATCGAATACATTTTTGTTATAGCCCATAGCTGCCAATCAGAAGCAGCGAATTATCGATCGGACCAAGGACACGTAACACATGTGCGAGCAGCCTAGAGTCCTGCTTTCCGCCTAGCCCAGCCAGTTAAGTCCAGAACACTAGTCTCAGCCTCTGCAATATGAATCCTTATATTTCAAACATACTGAGTTTATATACCAATCAAACCGACCACAACGTAGCATAAAATAGAAAATAACATTTGTACAAAATTTGGCCAAATGTAGCTGTGAATGTTGGAGGTAGTAACTAATAGACAGGGCATAATTCAAGAATGGTAAAACATATAATAATGGTTCATATGTCAAAATAAAGTTTATAATATGAATAGTTTAGTTATTTAACAGTTATACGATAAAAATATACGTTTAGTATTGGTCCATAAAAGGATCCCAAAGTTACCATTCAATATGTGTCTCGGGACCTAACAATTTCTGACATTCATTGAATCCCAAAAAATTATACCATCAGTGAAAACATAATACTGTTACTTTTCCTTCGATGAAGAATATTACTTTCTTCGTTAACTTGATCCTGAACAATTGTCTATGTAAAGAAGAATGTAAAATCTTAGTAACATATTCGAAACGAAAATGATACTTTGTTGGTAAGCTTCATAATCATCATTGATCGACAATTTTTTCTGATCAGTTAGCTATAGTCATACCATCTCAGCTAACTACTTTAAAAATAAATAACCATCATATCAATAAGAGTAAATTTTAGTTACTTCATCATTTGTTCGATATTTAAATGAGGTAGAAGCTGCACGATTTTTGCTTCTCAACGAATCAAAACTGTCGATGTATGGTTTTATTCAATTGGACTATTCGCACAATACACTCACCCATCACGTATCACTGTACTTTACTGAGGAAATACCTTTTCTTCGCTACTTGCTGTTAATGTTAACTACATACCCCTTCAGTGTTATTTGCGAAAACAGACATTTTTCCATTTAAACGTGCTATTTTCTGCAAGGAGGTTATGTAGTGCTATGTCAATCCCACACAGCCTATTCTAGCTTCCGGACAGGCCAATCTATTCATCCTTCTCGAGTCACGTTTTGATCTTGTTAATTATTAGCTTGTCAACCTTGATTGTTTATGTAAGTATATGTGTGCACTTCTTATCTTGTTCATTAGATGCCTGTAACTCATCTTGTTCGGCTGTACATATTGATTCACGCTTGGTTAAATTGGGTTGGCTCACGTGCTTCTCCAATGCGACCCATTTCCTTTCGCTGCTCTCTCTTATCGTATTTGACTTATTTTATTCCATTATACACTAACGCGAGTTAAGTCGATATTTTTACACTAGGATTTGGCGGAATGTATATTTCAATAACAATATATCATACGGTCTAACTGGAATCAGATCTCGGGCCAATAAAAAGGTAAACAGTCTTTTCTGACTCCGATCCTCATTTGGAATGCGTCTGTCAGGTGTCCTCCATGCACCACTTTGTAGTGTAGTCCGTTGTATGAACTCCGGATTATGTTGACGATCTTCTCAAGTACACGCAAGTGTCGAAGAAGGTTTCATAAGGCTCTCCTATGCACACTGTCAACCGCTTTCTCATAATCAAGGAAGTTGATGTATGGTGACGAGTTTCATTCAATTTGATTATCCAACGATAATCCGTAGTGTCGCGGTTTGGTCTGTACTTGATCGATCCTCACAGAATCCGGTCTGTTGATCTCGAAGCTGGGCGTCTACTGAGTCTTTCATCTGGTTCAGCAACACTGTTGAAATCTTTCCTTGGTACCGATGGCAGTGTGATTCCTCTGTAGTTCTCACATTTACTCGGATCTCTTCTTTTTGGTATCTTGATGAAGTGTCTTTCTCTCCAGTCCGTCGGCACATGCTCTTCCTCCCAAATCTTCCTGAATAGAGTGTAGAGCATGCTGGCAGTTGCTTCTTTGTCTGACTTTAGTGCTTCAGTTGGTATGTTGTCAGGTCCTACTTCTTTCCCACTCTTCATTTGTCTGATGCCCATTCTGATTACTTTGATCGTTGGTGAACTCTTGTCTGTGGGAATATCTTGGTATGCTGCTTTGATTCATGGTAAATTCACTGGGACTGGTCTATTTAAGAGTTCCTCAAAGTGTTCTACCCATCTGTTTATGGTCTCGGTGGTTGGTTTGTATTCTTTGTCCTTAATCGGTTTCTCTGGTTTACAATATTTTCCTGCTAGTTTTTTCGTTGCATCATAAACGTGTCTGATATTTCCTTCTGTTTAAGCTTATTCTGGTGTAGTTTCTAGCTCTTCCATGTATTTCCCCTTGTCAATTCTGACGCTCTTCTTCACTCGCTTGTTTGCTTCTGTGTATTCAGCTTGTGTTTTGACTTTCTCTGTTATCGTTTGACCGTTGTTAGTTGCCGTTATATCTTTTCTTTCATAAATCTTGTCCAAGGCTTCGACGTGGACCTATTCCTTATGGTGATGCTTCTTTTGACCCAGAACCCCCCGAGACGTTGGAGTTAGTGCTTTCTTGATTTCTTTGCAGTTGTCCTCCATAGTAGTTTCTCCTTTCAAAGAACTCTGAAAGGCTTGGAACCTGTTGATGAAAGCTATATGGAATTCGTTTGTTCTGATGGACACTCACGGTTACTACGTACTTATCGTGGACTTCGTTTCCTCCATATCTTATATTTCCCCCTAGTAATTCACATTGGCGCGTCTTTATCTTTGGATTATACGAATTGAAATGCAGATATTCCATTGATCGTTACTCTATTACATTATAAATGAACACCTTATATTTGAAATACATTATATACTCATAGTCTGTGATCCTAGTATTAACTCGGTTAATACTTAATAATAACTATACACTCAGGTATTCTGTTTGATTAACCGAGCTCTGTGCTCACTGAGTTTCAAATTATGGCAAATAACTCCAGCAAAATAGAAATTTCACCAACTTCTTAGACAACTAAAAGGTCAAAATCTGTAACCCGTATGACTGATGATTCAGTAATTGACAATGTTGAACCTTTGTCTTCTGAACCTTATGGTTGTTATGCATAAATATAACTATCACTGCTTGATTCTCCCTGCAACAACCTTTCCATCTCTTCATGTAGTATGCCAACGGTAAGACTGGTTGACATGAAAGGCACAATACTAATGTGCATCGGAAAGTTGTCGCAGTCTAACAGGCAGCAGGTTTTAGTAAGGCCTACATCTAAGTTTTCAAAAACCAAAGAGTCTTACGGTTCACTTCACATATAGGGAAATACTAATCGATATAGTAAGATATCCGTCAGTTACAAAACAATGTCAAAA